TTTAGACAATAAAGTGGATTCAACCCAAGAGGTGATACAAAGAAATGAACAAAAAACTAGGTCTGTGGAAATAAAAACTGAACGAACTGAAAAAAAAAAATAGAACAGATAGATCAAAAAATGATGGTGGTAAACAAAGATTTGGGAAGTTCGTTAATACACCTGGAAATGGATCGAGCCTCCTTTTATCTGAGGTTCCAAAATGTGATGGAAATGAAAGATGATCTAGGAGAGGTAATGGCAGGACTGATTGCAAAAGTCCTCCAGAGAGATAAAAAAGAGATTATAAATGAGATGGACAAAGTGTACAGAGTCCAAACTAATTATGCAAAGCACCATCATCTATCCAGAGAAGTATACATCAGGTTTGCATGTAAGAAGGACTGTGATATTATTTACATAATTACAAGAGACGAATCTATGATGTACATAGTTTACATACCCTGGCAGAATTTATGATTTCTTGGCCATTTTTCAGAGAACATGAATGATAACACAAAAACTTTTCTTTCATTCATGGTTAGTGTTTGGCTGAAGCCATTTATTATCAATCAACTCTGTTTACTCTTTTTCAATCATAATGACAACAGAAACTACCCAAATGACCCTGATCACAAGTTTACATACCCCAATTCTTAATATGGTGTATTAACATCAATGACAGCTTGAAGTCTTTTGTGGTATGTGTGGATGAGGCTCTTTATCTTCTCAGATGGTAAAGCTGCCCATTCTTCCTGGCAAAAAGCCTCCAGGTCCTGTAAATTCTTAGGCTGGCTTGCATGAACTGCACGTTTGAGATCTCCCCAGTGTGGCTCAATGATATTGAGGTCAGGAGACTGAAATGGCCACTCCAGAACCTTCACTTTATTCTGCTGTAGCCAATGACAGGTTGATTGGCCTTGTGTTTAGGATCATTGCCATGTTGGAATGTCCAAGTATGTCCCATGCACAGCTTCCGGGCTGATGAATGCAAATTGTCCTCCAGTATCTTTTGATAACATACTGCATTCATCATGCCATCAATTCTGACCAAATTCCCTGTGCCTTTGTAGCTCACACATCCCCAAAACATCAGCAATCCACCTCCGTGTTTCACAGTAGGAATGGTGTAGTTTTCATCATAGGCCTTGTTGACTCCCCTCCAAATGTGGCATTTATGGTTGTGGCCGAAAAGCTCAATTTTGGTCTCATCACTCCAAATAACTTTATGCCAGAAGGTTTGAGGCTTGTCTCTGTGCTGTTTGGTGTATTGTAAGCAGGATACTTTGTGGCATTTGTGTAGTCGTGGCTTTCTTCTGGCAACTCGACCATGCAGCCCATCTTTCTTCAAGTGCCTCCTTAAAAGGGGAACCAAGATGAAGAAAGGGGTACTAGAACCAGATCACAAAGAACTACAAGAACAAATAGAAACCAGAGACCAACAGAAAATTAAGAAAATGGAGAAAGAAACACAACTATTGTCAATAAATGTGAACAGATTGAATGATCAGGTGAAAAGGAAAAGCCTTGGTAGTACAGGGGTTTAAGGCACCCTGTTATTAAGCTGGTTATTAAGACCAGCTGCCTGCAATTACTGCAGGGTTCGAATCTCGCCAAGGCTCAAGGTTGACTCAGCCTTCCATCCTTTCTAAGGTAGGTAAATTGAGGACCCAGTTGTGGGGGCAATAAGCTGACTTTGTATAAATATACAAAAGGATGAAGGCTATTGCTGAGCACATTGTAAGCCGCCCTGAGTCTTCGGAGAAGGGCGACATATAAATCAAATTAAAAAAAAATATTTACAAAATTAATAAAACTGCAATCCCCTTGGAAAGATCAGAAGAAGCTCCTCAAATTGGATATTGTGGGAAAGCGACCTAGAAGTCATTGAAAAGCTGGGAACAAAAGAGAAACTGAAAGACCACCTCGCTGTGACAGCGAGGTGAGATCAACTTAATTTTATTGATCAGAAAGTTTCTCTTTCATCTACCTGGATGACTGATAGGGTGGAGAAGAGTGGCTGAAAGCGAGGAGTGGGTGCAGGCGGGTGCTCTCATTCACATCTGGAATTTTGAACGGCAAGGAATGCATGTCTGGGAGCCTTTTTAAACTTTTATCAAAATTTTTAATTGAAGAAGAAAAGAAGATTTGGGGATTGTAAGACTGTAAGAATAATTGGATATTAGTGCTTTGAATGACTGAACGGAATATACATTTTTTAAATAGTTTGTTGCAATGCTGATTGATTACTGATACTTTTGTTTGGAGTAAAAGTACCAAAAGCACCAAAGGACTGAGCTGAGACTGAAAGTTAGCTTGCAGTGCCACCTAGCGGTGGAAGAAATAGCAAAAGAAAAACAATTTTTACTTTGAAGAAAACCTAATAGATAACTGACCTTGACATTTTGGCTAGAAGATAAATAGGCCAGCTGTGGAGAAGGGAGTAGAGACTAGACTTTAAAAGCGTTTGAGAGTTCCTTTTTTTCCCCCTCTGGATTTGTGGATTGTGATTTTTAATTTTAATTTTTTTCCCTTTACTTTTTGGTGGATTAGCATTGTTTTGAGAAAAAAAAAGACTTCAGGTTGTCCTTTTATTTTTTCTTATTTTCTGGTTTGAAACTTTGCAAGAACTGAATGAAATGGTCTTTTTTCCTCTTTCTTTTTTCTGAAATATTGTTTTTTTTATGGATTAAGACTTGAAGAAGAATTCATTTTTATTTATTTATTTATTTTTATTTTTTCACTCTGGGACCTTTTTATCTCTTTCTTCTGGTGTTAAACTGACTTTTTTTATGGATTCTAATCTTTGATTTTGAACTTAAAACTTTATTTTTCAACCTTCCCTTTCTTCTCTCTCTCTCTCTCTCTCTCTCTCTCTCTCTCTCTCTCCTCTCTCTCTCTCTCTCTCCAGTTGGGTCATATTTTTTTTCACCTCTTTTCCTCTTTTCTTTTCTTTCCCTTTCCCTTCCCCCTTCTAGTTTGAATTTTTTTTTATCATTATTAAATTTTGGAAGGGGAGGGAGGTTGTGAGATTCTTCCTATTTTACTATATCCTGCTTTATTTTATTATTACCAATTCAATCATTGGTTGAATTAGGTATTTGAATTACAACCAAACTATAAGTGGATTATAAGTATCTGGGGAAGTGAAAATGAAGAAATATACACAACCAGCACCAAGTCCCTCAGCAGTATAAAAGCACAAAACCTCAGAGATAACAGAATTGCAAAATTTGATGCAGTCACTCCTGGCTGATATAAAACAGGAATTAAAAGAAATGAAAGAAATAATGGAGAAGAATGAGCAGAGAATACAGAAAGTAGAGGAAAAAGCAGAAAAGACAAGAAATAAAGTTGAGGAGTTGGAAGAAAAATTGGTTTTAACAGACAAATCACAAAGAGAACAATTATTCTGCTGGAAATGGAAAGATCTGAATTCTACCTAAGATTTCAGAATATAGAAGAAGAAAAAGGAGAAAATCTACCAGAGGTAATTGCAGAGATTCTGGCTGAAGTTATGGAACAACCCCAGGAAAAGATTTTAAATGAGATTGATGAAGCATTTAGAATATATACTAGATATGCAATAAGGAATAAATTGTCAAGAGAAGTACATGTAAGATTTACAAAGAGGGCAATGAAAACAGAGATATTACAAGCAACAAGGACCTCAACACTGAAACACAAAGATAAAGAACTTGATGTTTTATGACAAATACCTAGAAGGGTCAGAGACTTGAAGAGAGAATATCAATTTTTAACGAAATTCCTAATATTCAAAGCAGTGAACTTTAGATAGCTGATATCTGAAGGGATTATGGTGACATGGCAAGAACAAAGATACAGACTTGACTCGATTGAGAAGCAAAAATATTTTACCAATAATTTTGTGGACCATTGGATGGAGATTTAGGAGCAGTAGATGCTGCAAAAGAGAAAGATGAAGATAAAGACAAAGAAGAAAAAGCCAAAGATGAAAGGGCCCTCAGAGAAGGAGCGAGAGCGAAAGATCCACTGGAACAAAGAGAGACTAGAGCGATGAAATTAAAAACTAGCAACAAGTAAATATGGAGGAGGAAGTAAAAGCAATATCTTTAAATGTAAATGGACTGAATGTGGCAATAAAAAGAAATAGAATATTGAATAAATTAAACAGCTTGAAGATGGATATTATATATTTACAGGAAGTGCATATTAGAAAACAGCATTCAAAATTATTACAATACCCAAAACTAGGAGTACTATTTACATCATTGATACAACAAAGTAAAAGACGGGTGGTACTGTATGTTAAAGAAAGACTAGAACCCAAACAAATTTTTGAAGATGAGGAAGGCAGGTTCTTGATGGTCGAAATTAAAATGAACTTCAAACAAGTACTTTTCATAGCATTATATGCACCAAATGAAAACAGGAAGAATTTTATCAGCAATTACACAGGAAAATTGTAGAACTGGACTATGAAAATGTATGTATAATGGGTGATTTCAATGCTGTAACAGATACAGATTTAGACTACAGAACAGTAAAGACAAATAAAAAACCTAGGAAAACACTGCCAAAGGCCTTTTTTACAATGACAGAAGAACTAAGTATTCAAGATATTTGGAGAATGAAACACTTGAATGAGAGTCAATATACTTTTTACTCAAATAGACATTTATTGTGGTCAAGGATAGATATGATATGGATGTCAATTGGACTTATAGAAGTGGTGCAGGAAGTAAATATTGGCTCAAACATATGGGCAGACCACAGCCCAATAACAATAACATGGAAAGGGTAAAAGAAAAAGATAAGATGGACCTTGAATGCAACAATATTAAATGAAAAAGAATTTCAGAAATTTGTGGAAAAGGAATTGGAAATTTTCTTTAAAATAAATGAAAAGGAGGACACATCACTCCAGAATGTTTGGGATACAATAAAAGCATATATTAGAGGAATTTCCGGAAGCGAGCAGCATGACTGGTTGGGAAAATACCAGGCTTCGATGAGCCTGGTGAAACCCAGCCACTGAAGGTCTTCTCACACTCAGGTGTGTTTATCATTTTTCTCCCACGTGAATTCTTTGGTGTCGATTGACGCTACTACGCCCAATATAGCTCTTTCCACACTCAAGGCATTTATGTGGTTACTCTCCTGTGTGAATTCTTTGATGCATGTAAAGATTTCCTCTCTGATTGAAGCTCTTTCCACATTCCAGACATTTATGTGGCTTTTCTCCTGTGTGAATTCTTTGATGTCCATACAGATTTCCTCTCCTACTGAAGCTCTTTCCACAATCAAGACATTTATGTGGTTTTTCTTCTAAATGGATTGTTTGATGATGGGAAAGTTGTCCTTTCTGACTGAAACTCTTTCCACACTCCAGGCACTGAAAGGGTTTCTCTCCTGAATGGATTTTTTGATGCAAGTAAAGACTTCCTCTCCTACTGAAGCTCTTTCCACAATCAAGACATTTATGTGGCTTTTCTCCTGTATGGATTGTTTGATGCTGGGAAAGTTCTCCTCTCTGAGTGAAACTCTTTCCACACTCCAGGCACTGATACGGTTTCTCTCCTGAATGGATTTTTTGATGCACGTAAAGACTTTCTCTCCTACTGAAGCTGTTTCCACAATCAAGACATTTATGTGGTTTTTCTCCTAAATGGATTGTTTGATGCCGGAAAAGTTTTCCTCTCTGACTGAAACTTGTTCCACACTCCAGGCACTGATACGGTTTCTCTCCTGAATGGATTTTTTGATGCACGTAAAGACTTCCTCTCTGATTGAAGCTCTTTCCACACTCCAGACACTTATGAGGTTTTTCTCCTGTGTGCATCCTTACATGTCTTTCAAGATTTGCATTACTTTTGAAGGATTTTTGACATTCCGGGCACTTATGTTTCTTTCCTCCCTCATGGATCCTTCGGGGCTTTGGGAATCTTCCGAAGGAGCCTCCGCCCTCCAAGCCCATCTCGGGGTCTCCGCCTGTTTCCTCCTCCCCGCATCGCCCTCCAGGCAGCCGCCTTTCCCGGGCTCCCCCTGGGCTCATCTCTCCTGCAGCCCCGGAGCCCTGCCGTCTCCCGGAGAAGCCGCGCTTGGGCCGGTCAGGGCTGCTCCGCGGGGCCCACCTTCCTCCTCCTCCTCTTGGCCAGCGCCTCTTTCCTGCATCCGCCGCCATCCTCCGTCCTCCTGTAGGGAAGAAAGAGGCGAGGGTCACGGCTGCGTCCCCTTCCCCACAGGGGAGGCCCAGGCCCAGGCCCAGGCCCCTGCCTCTTGTGGACCCAAAAGAGACCCCCACAGACTGGGACTCCCAACATTCCCTCCGATGAGAAAGGAGAAGATGAATCCATGTGTATGTATGTGGGGGGTCTGTGGAGGGGCTGGCAAGGCAGCTGTGGGGGGAGCTGGGTGAATTAATCCTGCTTACTGTCTCTGGGATGTATTTTGCGGTTATCGTTCATGACGGTTGGGATATATTGCCCCCAAACTGTCAGGTTCCCTCTGTTTCTTCTTCATACTTTGGGTGTTGATGTGTAGGTGGAGAGATAAGGAGGAGGAGGGATGAGAAAGGAGAAGATGAATCCATGTGTGTGTGTGGGGGGGGGGTCTGTGGAGGGGCTGGCAAGGCAGCTGGGGGGGGGCTTGGCTGACTTAATCCTCTTACTGTCTCTGGGATGTATTTTGCGGTTATCGTTCATGACGGTTGGATATATTCCCCCAAACTGTACAGGTAGTACTAACTAGATCTACAATCAGAATTGAGAAAAAAATTTCTGTTCTTGACATTTGCTGCACCCCATTTTTTGCCATAATTGGCAGGTCATATCCTACAGTTGTGAAGTGAGTTGTGAAGTTGTTATGTGAATCCTCCAATGACTTTGTGGGACACCAGCTGAGAAGGTTACAAATGGTGATGATATGACACTGGCACAGTGCAGCCATCATAAATACATGCTAAATGCCTGGATGTGGACCACATGACCACGGGGATGCTGGAACAGTCGTAAGTGTGAAAACTGGTCAAGGCCACTTTTTTCAGTGCTGCTAAAACTTCACTAAATCACTAAGCAAATAGTTGTAGGTCAAGGGGCCTGGTAGCTCAGCAGACTAAAAGCATTGTGATTAACACCACCTGTCTGTAATTACTGCAAGTTCGAATCACACCAGGCTCAAGGTTGACTCAGCCTTCCATCCTTTCTAAGGTAGGTTAAATGAGGACCCAGTTTGTGGGGGCAATAAGCTGACTTTGTATAAATATACAAACGTATGAAGGCTACTGCTTAATGCATTGTAAGCAACCCTGAGTCTCTGGAGAAGGGCAGCATATAAATCAAATTTTAAAAAAAAAAGAAAAAAAAAGGACTATCTGTACAGTGCTTTAAAAATAATCCAAAATAGCCCGCAAATTCGAACCCACAGAGGTCAAAAATTTTCCTGCAAGGGACTTCCGGTTGGCACCGCAGACTCCGTGGACGGTGTTTTAGGACTGCCAGCCCTGCGTCTCCGTAAAAGCCGCTTTGACAGCGCAAACCGGCTGTCTAGCGGCTGAAAAACTCTCCTTCTGGAAAAGAAGGAGAGGAGAGCCGGTGGGCGAGAGTAGAGCTCCCCAAAAGCCCTCTGGAACATTTCCAGAGGCTTGAAGGATGAGAGCTCCCCAGCCAGCCCGCCAAGAAGCTCCGGAGCCAGGACGACTCTGCGAAAGCAGAGTGAGAAGCCGCGATCCGATCCTGCTTTTAAGTTAGTTTGATTGACTACAAGCGCAGGCAGAGCGGAAAACAGGAGAACAAGCCTTAAAAGTACAGAGCTTAACTCCAAAGTTACTTCAATTTGAATCTTATTGAGCTGGAGGCGGAAGATGGCGTCTTTGTTATGGTTTTGAAAGTGAAAGCCAGAAAATAAAGTGCTTGAGAACTTTGCGCTGGGAGAGTGGATTAGCTGCCTATTAACTGCTGGGAACTGAGAGTTTGTGGAGGAAAGAGAAAAAAAACTACTCTGCCTGGCAAATTAGAGACTATAATTGAGGCAGATGATCTAGGAAGATATATTGCAATTGAATTATTAACACAGACTGGAAAAATGCTTTTTATTGGAATATATGTCCCTAATCAGCAACAAGACAAGTTTTATAAATTTTTACATACTAAAATAATACAATGGGCCTATAAATCTTTTATATTAATGGGTGATTGGAATGGAGTAATTGACACACAGAAAGATAAAAAAAGCTTATCAAAGATTTCAACACGTGCAAAACTACCTAAATCTTTTTTTGGTATGATGGAAGATTTAGAACTGAGAGATATCTGGAGAGAACGTAACCTGGAGGAAAAAGATTTTACTTTTTTTTCTGATAGACATCAATCCTTCTCCAGGATTGATTTTATACTAACCACAAATGATTTTATTTCCAGGGTGAAGAAGACGAAGATATGTCCAAGAACTTTAACTGATCATAGTCCGGTTTGGGTGGAATTTGAACAGGAGAGGGGAGAAAGGAGGTCTTGGAGGTTAAATGAAAACTTATTTAGATATGAAGAAAATGTCAAAGAGCTTAAAAAACAAATGAAAGATTTTTTTGTTATTAATATGAATAAGGGTACCCCTATGGAAATGGTGTGGGATGCTAGCAAGGCTTATATGAGGGGTATGTTAATACATATGAACAATAAATATAGACTAAAACAACAAAAGAAGCGTAAAGAGATAGAGGAAGAAATAAAAAAGAAAGAACAATTACTTATATTTAATCCAGGAGATAAGAAAGTAAAAGAAACAATAGATATACTACGAGGGCAATTTAATATGTTAATGGCTGATCAGGTGGCAACTAGCTTACAATATGCTAAACATAATACATTTTGTAATTCCAATAAACCAGGTAGGTGGTTGGCCTACATGTTGAGGAAAAAACAGAAATCACGAGTCATTAGTAAGATAGAATATAGAGGTAAGGAAGTTTACCAACAGAACATGATTAAAAAGGCTTTTTTGGAATTTTATACAAAGTTATATGCTAGTGACTCAATACAAGGTATAGATATAGATAGATATTTAAAGGAAGGGAATATTTTGGAATTAACGTTGGAACAGAGGGAAGGATTGAATCAACCAATAACTACTGAGGAAATCGTTGCGGCAATTAAGCAGTTAAAAACAGGGAAAGCTCCAGGAACAGATGGATTAACAGCTGTTTATTATAAGAATTTACAGCTTGAAATGGTAGAGCCGCTTAGAGCTCTATTTTGTAAAATTCAATTAGGGGGAGGAGTTCCACCCTCTTGGAGAACAGCTTTTGTTTCATTGATTCCGAAGGAAGATCAAAACTATCAAACCTGAAAATTTTTTCACTTTTGAACATGGATTATAAAAATTTTGCTAAGATATTAGCGAATAGATTAATGCCAGTTATGCAACAAGTTATTTACAATGACCAATCAGGTTTTATAAAAGGGAGACAGATGAAATATAATGTTAGATAAATTATAAACTTATTGGAATATTTGGAAAAAAATAACCAGGTCCCTGCAGCATTCATATTCTTGGATGCAGAGAAAGCATTTGATCGATTGAACTGGCAATTCCTGTTTAAAATAATAGAAAAAATGCACTTTGGAGAGTATTTCATACATTCAATTAGAGCAATATATCAGGAACAAACAGCACAAATAATAATTAATGGAGGTTTAACAGATGTGTTTAAAATTGAGAAAGGTACGAGGCAGGGTTGTCCCTTGTCGCCATTGTTGTTTATTTTTGTTGAATAAGTTACGTGATTCTGATAAAATAAAAGGAATTGTAATTAGACAGCAGGATTATAGACTAAGAGCGTTTGCAGATGACCTGGTTTTTACTTTATCTCAAGCTATAGAAGCGGCTCCCTATATGTTGGACATAGTAGCTCAATATGGCAAAGTATCTGGATAAAGTAAATCTTCACAAGACAAAGATGATAACTAAAAATATGTCCATAACTCAGAGAAGACTTAGGGAGAATAACGGGGTTTGAAGTAGTTAAAAAGGTTAAGTATCTAGGAGTATATATTGCAGCCTCAAACACAAAATTGTTTAAAAATAATTACGAAATTCTTTGGCAAAAAGTACAGAAAGAAATGGAAAATTGGAAAAAGTTACAACTATCACTACTGGGAAGGATAGCAGCAATAAAAATGAATGTTTTACCTAGGTTTTTATTTTTGTTCCAAATGATACCAGTGCTTAAAAAAGATGGACATTTGATGGAATAGCAGAAAGGGGTTAATACTTTCATTTGGGCTGGGAAGAAACCAAGAGTGAAACTGAAAATTATGCAGGATATACGTGAGAGAGGAGGTCTTAAAATGCCTAATTTAAGATTGTATTATGAAGCAACAGCTTTATCACAAATTAGTGATTGGTTTAACTTAACTGAAGAATGTTAAACATAGAAGGTTATGATTTGTTATATGGATGGCATGCTTATTTGTTATATGAAAAAAAAGTGGATAAAGTGTTTAAGGGTCATATACTCAGAAATGCATTGTTGAGGGTTTGGAAAAAGTACCAACTACCAAAAGTACAAACTGAACTATAAGATACCTATATGGGCAAATCCCAGACATGCAATAGAAAATATAAGTATAGAGCAAAAAATAGAGGTGATTATTTATAAAGAGCTTCTTCTTTTGGAAAGGGGTAAGTTGCAATTGAAATCTCTAGATGAACTAAAAGAAGAAGGGATAATTTATACTTGGTTTCAGTATGGTCAGCTTCAAGCTAGATGGAGGGAAGATCAAAAAATTGGTGTTAGGCAAAATGAGGAAAATTTGGTGAAACAGATTCGAGTTCAAAGTCAGATGCATATTAAAAGGTTGTATAATGCATTATTGGAAATAGATTCAGAAACGGAATTGGTTAAGGATTGTATGATAAAATGGGCACAAAATTTTCAGGAACCAGTGATGATGGAAACGTGGGAAAAGATTTGGGTCAGAAATGTTAAATTTACGCAAGCACAAAATTTGAGAGAGAATTTTTATAAATTTTATAGATGGCACTTAGATCCTAAAAAATTATCATGTATGTATTCGAATTTGCAAGGTAAATGTTGGAGATGTGAATGTAATGATGCAACCTATTATCATATATGGTGGACCTGTAAGAAAATCAAGGCATTTTGGATAAAAATTTGGTGGGTGATGCAGAACATTCTGAAAAGAAGGTTGAAATTTACTCCTCATTGTTTCTATTGGGTATAACTACGGACTGCACAGTATCAGAGACTAAATTGATTTTGAACAATATCAGCAGCTAGGCTGTTGGTAGCGCAATACTGGAAGAAGGACTCTTTGCCTACTATTGAAGAGTGGATACTGAAAGTAACGAACTTAGCAGAAATGGCGAAAATCTCAGCGTATTTGAAGGACTACACACAAGAAAGATATGTATCGGAATGGAGAAGATAGATTGATTATATTCAAAATAAGTATCAGACAAGAAAATATCAAATAGTTACGAATGAACGTTAAGTATTAGAAGTATTATGTTATCTATAGTGGAGTTAAGGTTTCAGGGGGGAAGTTAGTACTTTGAGGATAAGTAGATTAATCTAGTTTATGATTGATTAAATGAAATACCTTGTATTTTGCTCTGGGAAGTCTGGGGGGGAGGGTGGGATGAGGGGGGGAAAGGGTGGGGGGAACATGGGGGGGGAAGAAAATTTCTGTATTTTTTTTTGTAAAACTTTTCAATAATAATTAAAAAATTTCCTGCAACAATTCGGCAAAACTAGCCCATTTTGGGAGAAAAGCTGTCCAATTGTCCACAACTGTTTCCAACTCACATTTCCACTCAATCCCCAAACTTTGAGAGGGTGGCTGAAGCCCCTGGAGGTTTATCTGTCTCCTCAGGGTCACCCGAGTGGTGCGAATGGTTCTTGCAGTCTGCAATTTTTCCCTCTGGAAATCCATTCACACCCCCACACCATGCAAAGGGGGTTCAGCCCAAATTGCATCGCTAAAAGTCTGTCGAGATTCTCCGTCATCCAGATCAGGATTGTCCCAAAGGTGCTTTGCTCAGGAGGCAACTGGACTTTCTGGTTTTTTCTTTTGAAGGCGTTTCGCTTCTCATCCCAGAAGCTTCTTTGGTACTGAAGAGGATGAGAAGTGAAACGTCTTCAAGGAAAAACGAAGCCCAGTTGCCTCTTGAAAAAGCACCTTTGGGATGAGGCCTCCTGCATGAGCAGGGGGTCAGACTAGAAGACCTCCAAGGTCCCTTCCAGCTCAGTTGTTCTTATTGTGTTAGCCGAGAAGGGAACTTCCTACAAACCTCTAAAAACACGTCCAGCATCAGATCCCCTCAGGTCTTTGGTGCAAAACAAGAAGAACATTAAAAGGATGTCAAATTGCGGCCCCTTTAGCTCTCTCCTGCCTGAGCGTCCCTCTACTAGATCTCCACCCCCCACCTTCCCCAGGGAGGGGCCCTGGATGGGGGGAAAGCCAGAGACCCAGAAGGGCCCCCAACCTCCAGAGGGCAACGGAGGGAAAGGTTTACCTTTGAGGGGGGTCAGCAAAGGCTGAGAGGCCCACATATTAATGGGGGGGGGTGTCCTGGGGGGATTTCTCCCCCTCCTGCAGATTTGCAAAGGGGTCTTTTGGCGGGGAGGGAGCTCGAGGGGGGGTGTCGCTGCTTGGAGGCCACGGAGGAGCCTGGCTGGAGCCCCCCAGGAGGAAGGGGAGACCCCTCAGCCCCGCCTGCCTGGGTGCCCCCCCTTATTTCCACCCCCCCGCCTTGCCTAGGGAGAGACCCCGGTTGGGGGAAGGGTGGGAGAGTCAGAGACCCAGGGGGGCCCCCCAACCTCGGCCTGCCTGAATGCGGGGGGGAGGGGGCGGAGGGGGAGAAGACGGGACCCCAAAGATCAAAGGGAAAATCCCCCCCCCGCCTCACCTCCGCACGAGAACAGAAAGTGAGTGGGCATCGCGCAGGCGCACTCTCGATGACTGAAAATGGAGGACGCTGATTGGTCGCTCTGGGGGACGGCGGCGATTGGCTGGAGGATTCCTTGAGGCGGTCCCTCCAAAGGAAGAGGAGGAGCTTCTGGCAAAAAGGGCGCGAAACCTCCACTTCCGGAAGCCAATCGGGCAAGGAAGGAACTCCCTGTATCGGCGATCAGAGGAGCCCGGATGATGGAGGTTTGGCGCAGGGGATGCTGGGAGTCGCAGTCTAGGAGGGTCTCTTTTGGGTCCGCAAGAGGTCAGGGCCCACCCGGGGAGGATTAGGCGCCATCTAAGAAAATGAAGTTAAAGGTTGAAAGAAAAAAAGGAGGCTCCACATTTAGGCAAGGAAAACAAAATGCTCAGGGAGAGTATAGGTGGCAGCTCACTCAATAGTGGTGACTCTGAGGGGGATCTTGGAGTCCTAGTGGACAGTCGCTGAAATAGGAGCCAGCCGTGTGCAGCAGCTGCCAAAAAGGCCAACACAGTTCTGGGCTGCATCAACAGAGGGAGAGAATCAAGATCACGCAAAGTGTTGATACCACTTTATGAGGCCTTGGAAAGGCCACACTTGGAAGAATGGATCCAGTTCTGGTCGCCATGATGTAAAAAAGATGTGGAGACTCTAGAAAGAGTGCAGAGAAGAGCAACAGAGAGGATGAGGGGACTGGCAGCTAAAACATAGGATGAACAGTTAAAGGAACTGGGTATGTCTAGTCTGATGAAAAGAAGGACTAGGGGAGACAGGATAGCAGTCTTCCGATATCTCAGGGGCTGCCACAAAGAAGAGGGAGTCAAGCTATTCTCCAAAGCACCTGAGGGGGGCAGGACAAGAAGCAATGAGTGGAAACTAATCAAGGAGACCTCCAAGATCCCTTCCGACTCTTATTCTATTCTGTTCCCGTGCGGGGAAGGGCATGGAGCCGTGACCCACCTTTCTTTCTCTCCTGCAGGAGGATGGAGGAGCCCGGCGGAGGAAGGAAGGAAGCATCGCCCGAGAGGAGGAGGAGAGCGGGCCCCGCAGAGCAGCCCTGCCTGGAGACCGCGGGGAAAGGCCAGGGGGCTCCAGGGCTGCAGGAGGGAGGAGCCCAGGGGGAGCCCGGGAAAGGCGGCTGCCTGGAGGGCGATGCGAGGAGGAGGAAACGGGCGGAGATCCCGAGACGGGCCTGGAGGGCAGAGGCTCCTTCGGAAGACCCGGGAGTCCCCAAATGGTCCAGAAGGGAGGAAAGGAATATCAGTGCCCGGAATGTGAAACATCCTTCACAAGAAATGGACATCTTCAAAGGCATATAAGCATCCACACAGGAGAGAAGAAATACAAATGCCCAGAATGTGAAAAATCCTTCAGAACAAACGGTCTTCTTCAAAGCCATCTAAAAATCCATTCCGGAGAGAAACCTCATAAATGCCTGGAGTGTGGAAAGAGCTTCAGGCATTTGGGAAACCTTTATAGACATGAAAGGGTCCACTGGAGAGAGAAACTGAATAAATGCCTGGAGGGAGGAGAGTCCTTTGGAAGACTCAGGAAACTCCAAAGAATCCAGGAGGGAGGAAAAAAGTATCAGTGCCCGGAATGTGAAAAATCCTTAAAAACAAATGGACATTTTCAAAGGCATCTAAGGATCCACTTGGGAGAAAAGAAATTTGAATGCCCAGAATGTGAAAAATCTTTCAAAAGAAATGGACATCTTATAAACCATCTAAGAATCCACTCAGGAGAGAAACCATATAAATGTCTGGAATGTGGAAAAAGCTTCATTGTTGTTGGACACCTCAATCAACATCAAATGATTCACTCAGGAAAGAAACCTTATAAATGTCTGGAGTGTGGGAATAGCTTCAATAGGAGGGGAAACCTTTATAAACATCAAAGAATCCACTCAGGGGAAAAACCATATAAATGCCTGGAATGTGGAAAGAGCTTCAATAGGAGGGAACATGTTCATACACATCAAAGAATCCATTCAGGGGAAAAACCATATAAATGCCTGGAGTGTGGAAAGAGCTTGAGGCAGAAGAGAAGCCTTAATAGGCATCACAGAATCCATTCATTAGAGGAACCAGATAAATTCCTGACGTATGGAAAGATAGTCAATCACAGAGGAAACTTTTATAAACATCAAAGAATCTGCTCAGGAGAGAAACTATATAAGTGCCTAGATTGTGGAAAGAGCTTTACTCAGAGTGGACATCTCCATCAACATCAAAGAATCCACTCAGGAGAAAAACCTTATAAATGCCTGGAGTGTGGAAAGACCTTCAGTCAGACGAGCAGCCTTTATACACATCAAAGAATCCACTCAGGAGAAAAACCACATAAATGCCTGGACTGTGGCAAGAGTTTGTCTTCAAAGAGAAACCTTTATTCACATAAAAAAATCCACAGAAGAGAAAATCTATATACCGTATATACTCGTGTATAAGCCGAGTTTTTCAGCACATTTTTCATGCTGAAAAAGCCCCCCTCGTCTTATACTCAAGTTAGGGTCCCACTCAGGTGAAATCTAAAATTTTTCGCTAGTGGTTCTGTGGGCGTGGCTTGGTGGAGGGGTGTCCTGTGACTGAGTGGACGTGGCCAACTTGATGTCACAGCCACGCCCACTCAGTCACAAGACCACCACACACACCAAGCCACGCCCACAGAACCCGGTAGGAAATTTTTTTAAATTTCTATTCTACCACCTGCTCTCTCTTCACTTTGGGTTGGGGGCCAGGGGCCAGGTCCATTCCCTGAGGCCCCAGAGCCGCCACCTGCTCGCCGCTTGCCTCAACCAGGTAGGGCAGCGGTTCTCAACCTGGGGGTCGCGACCCCTTTGGGGGTCGAACAGCCATTTCACAGAGGTCGCCAAAGCCCTCTCTGCTCCCCCCCCCACGCCTTCACTCACCATCACCCTCTGCCTCTGTTGGATCGCCGGTCGCTGTTCACTTACCCCTCCCTCCGGAGTGCCAGCTGATGGCTAGAGGGAAAAAAACTTTAAATTCTTGCTGCGGGGCTTCAAAGGGCCGCCCTACAGCTGATCAGTGTTAAAAGAAAATGAATGAATAGACCGGTGCCTGCAAAAATAGAAAAAACAGCCCTGTTCAGCTTCAGCATAGGTTAATTACCATAAGTTGATTTGATCAGCCTCCTTGCTCTCAGCTGTTTTGCGGAGGGCTCTGTTGCTAGGTAGCTGCAAAGAGGTAAATTCCTGGAGCAGATTTTTTTTCCCTTAGCTATGCTGAAAAAGCGAAATTGAAAGTAAAGTAGGGTCTTTGCTGCAACGTGACAAAATGAGGCAGAGAGAGATTTCTTTTTCTTTTTCCTCACCAAAAAAGATAGGTGCAAAACTGCAAACAATGGGAAATTTAGGGCAAAAGAGGAGGTTCAAGATTTTAAAACACAAAAGAAAAAAAGCTCTATTTAACTAGGGAATTGTAATAATTGAGATACTATTAATTGTATATTGTGTTGAAAGCAGAAATGGTTAAGTTGTGGTTTGGAGGAATATATGGGGGAAATTATTTGGTTTATTATTATTGGTAAATATAATTAATTGATTTGTAAGAAATTGGATTGCATGGAAATAATTGGAATATTCATGTTCATATTGATTAATATACAAAAAAGATATAACTAATTGATTTATATTAAAATGTTGAATTTGTATTAAACAACTGTATTACATAATTAACCAATGTGAGGATGGATATAAAAATAGATGACAATGGGAAGGGGTATAATATAGAATAGAAGAGAAAAATTGAATTAAATTATTAAGATTGGAGATGAGGATGAAGGGTAATATTGGTTTTTTAAAAAAATAGATGAATAAATATGGCAAAAAGGAAATATAGAAATTGAAATTTAAACACTGTGTTGGAAGAAATATCCTTCTGGGTTCTGCTCCACGTGGGGAAAAAGACACTGGAAACATGGAGACTGCTTGGAAAGATGGTTTAATGGTGGACAAGATCACATGGCTTGAGTTCCTGAACAGAAAAGGGGCAGATACAGTAAATCCTCAGGTTTTTATGCTCTCTCTGGCTCTGCATTTCTTGGGGCCCCGAAAGAGTATCCTGATTGGTTGTCAGACTCCCAGGGGGTGGGGGTCTTAGCTAGCCTTTCTGGCTGATGGTCACATGTGCTTCCCAGGTCATATGCTTCCCAGGTCACGTGCGGTGAGTTTTGGTTGCTAGATGGGGCCCATTGTGTTAGTTTCTGTTGCTATTGACAAAGGATTGACTTTCTGTCTCTGGCCCATTAACAAAGGGTGGGGGGCAGGAAGGTGGGAGCTGCTTTGTCTGTTAAATATGCTTCTCCATTTCTCATCCAGGGAAATATAATATTCTGCCTTTTTAATATTTCCCAAAATATTTCATTCTTCTAGGAAAGGGGTGGGTGCTAACCTCCTACAACTGTTTAAATTTGTGAACTGGCCAAATACTCTGTTCAAAGAAAATACGTTGTATATTTGTATGTGTGTTTCTAATTATTGCTAATTATTCCTATTTGTTCTCTTATTCTTTAAAGTTTAACCATTCATTATCTTAATATCTTTATATTTGTTTGGGGTTGGCTTCCTTCCCTTTCATCTTTTTTATTGTACAATCTTTCTCCTCAAAGCTACCACCCCTCTCTTTTCTTTCCTTCTTACTTTCTTCCCCCCCCCTTTATTCTCATCCATATTTCCTCTTCCATTCTCCTTCTCCTCCTCTCTTCCTCCCTCTCTTACCCTCCCTTCTACTCTAATTTCCCTTCCCTTCGTTCATCCCTCTCTATTGCTGTATCCTTTTATGCATATGGACTACTCAGAGGGCTGAAAAAGTTATTTTTGACTGGTCCTTGCACTTTTGACCAGTCCTCGAACTTACGACTGTCCTCACAATTTACGTTTTTGCCCTATCTTGTCACCATGGTGAAGAGAAGCAGTTGTGAAATGAGTGACACGGTTGTTAAGAATGCTACAATGGGCATAAATGATGACCAGTCATAAGTGCGAAGACCGGTCAAAAGTGCGAGGACCTGTCAGAAATGACTTTTTTCAGCCCTCTGGGTAGTTCCTATACACATAGCCATAGCCACCCGGTCACATGACCAGATAGCCACGCCCACCCAGTCACATGACATCCAAGCCACGCCCACACAATAAGCCACGCCCACAGAACCGGTAGTAAAAAAATGTAGAACCCACCCCTGGTTGGGGGTCACCACAACATGAGGAACTGTATTAAAGTTCGCGGCATTAGGAAGGTTGAGAACCACTGAGGTAGGGGAATGCACCATTCCCCGACACCAGCCTTGCCCTGGAGCTGCCGCCCGCTCGCCCTTCGCCACGTGGCGTGTCCTACTCCTCACCTTTCTCCCGCGGCTGGCTGTCAGGGTAGGCAAGTGCCCGAAAGTTACCGGAGTCGCTCACTCTCCTCCTTGAATGTGCCGCCACCATCGCCGCCCTGTTCCACGCGCCAGCTGCGCACGCGCACACCCAACCTGTCGATGATGACTGAATGAAATAAAGTGTGAGCTTGCACAGCCGGACCATGGACCTGGGCGGCGATGGTGGTAGCACATTCAAAAAGGAGAGTGAGCGACTCTGGTAACTTTCGGGCGCTTGCCTTTTCTGACAGGCAGCTTGCGGGAGAAAGGTGAGAAGTAGGACACGCCGCGTGGCGAAGGGCGAGCCGATGGCGGCTCTGCAACAAGGCCAGAGTCAGGGAATGGTGCATTCCCTGACCTGGTTGAGGCAGGCGGTGAGCAGGCGGCGGCTTTAGTGAATGGCACATCCCTGGGCCCTGGCCTCTGACCCAAGGTGAAGGGCGAGTGGGCAGCGGCTCTGGGGTAAGGCCGGAGTCCCTTTCTGGGCATGTCACTTCTGCCTGTTGGGCCACTTCCAGGAAGTAATGACTTTTGGGCGGGTGGGCAGAGCCTCCAGCTGCCATCGTGTTGGATGCTTATCCTACGGTTGGGTAGGTAATATATAGAAAACTATGTTCTGTAACTTTAACTGCTACAAAATGACTAATTGATTAATTGGCTAAGCAGACATAAAAGAAGGCAGGAAGTTCATTCACTTCTGCTCCTGCTATTAGAAGGTTGAACTGCTGAAAGGAACTGTGTCTGTGTTACTGAAGAGAACTGGAATTGTAAGCAAACTATGTTTTTGTGTTGAACCGTGATTATTTGAAGAAGTGTTATCTTTGTTTTGAGAAGCCAAGTTTGTTTTACTACAAGTAAAGACTGTTTGTTTTTTTTTAAACATTCAGAGTCTGTGAGTATCTGTGTGTTTTGCTAAGCAACGTATCTATTCGCTGTCTGGTCCGTTGCACCACTTTGCAGAAGGCAGTTTTACCCTCAACACATTGCATTTCCCACCCTAGGCTTATACTCAATAAGTTTTCCCAGTTTTTTGTAGATTAGGTGCCTTGGCTTATATTTGGGTCGGCCTATACTTGAGTATATACGGTAAATGCCTTGAGTATGGAAACAGCTTCAGTCAGAGGAGCAGCCTTTATACACATCAAAGACTCCACTCAGGAGAAAAACCACATAAATGCCTGGACTGTGGCCAGAGTTTGTCTTCAAAGATTAACCTTTATTCACATAAAAAAATCCACAGAAGAGAAAAACCATATAAATGTCTTGAGTGTGGAAACAGCTTTACTGAGGATGGAGACCTTCATTAACATCAAAGGATGCACATGGGGGAAGAAACTACATATGTGGCTGAGCGTGGAAAGACATTTAGTTACGATGTATGTCTGAGGAATTGAATTGAATAATTTGTTTAGCCAAATGTGGAATTTGTCTCCGGTGCAGAAGCTCTCAGTGTACATGTAAAAAAACACAAAAATGATAACGGAAGGGACCTTGGAGGCCTTCTAGTCCACCCCTCTGCTCAGGCAGGAAATCCTCTACTGTTTCAGACAAATGGTTGCCCAATCTCTTTTGAAAAGAGTTTAGTGATTGAGCACAACAACTTCTCTGCTTCACCTGCTTAATTTTTCTCACTGTCAGGAAATTTCTCCTTAATTCCAGGCTACTTGTCTCCCTGGTTATTTTCCATCCATTATTTCTTGTCTTCCCTTCTGGTGCTTTGGAAAATAGGCTGACCCCTCCCCTCTTCCTTGTGGCAGCCCCTCAGGTATTGGAACAGTGCTATTGTGTCACCTTTTTTTCACTATCGTCAGGATAGAGAATCAGAGCTGGAAGGGACCTTGGAGGTCTTCTAGTCCAATCCCCTGCTTAATAATAATAATAATAATAATAATAATAATAATAATAATAATAATATTTATTTCTATACCGCCCTTCTCCCGAAGGACTCAGGGCGGTGTACAGCCTAATTAAAAAACAGAATAAACATCAATTTAAAATAATTTAAAAATATTAAATAAATTTGGCTTAATTTAAAACCCCAAAAATTTAAAACATCCAATTTAAAATTATATTGCTAACCCAGCCTGGCGGAACAATAGGGTCTTAAGTGCGCAGCGAAATACCCGGAGGTCAGAAATCTTACGAATTTCCAGGGGCAGTTCATTCCACAGGGCTGGGGCTCCCAGAGAGAAGGCCTTCCCCCTGGGTGTTGCCAGCCGACATGACTTGGCCGATGGCACCCTGAGGAGACCCTCTCTGTGGGAGCGAACTGGCCTGTGGGAGGTTATTGGTGGCAGAAGACGGTCTCGAAGGTACCCGGGTCCTATGCCATGGAGCGCTTTAAAGGTGGTAACCAACACCTTGAATCGCACCCGGAAGACCACTGGGAGCCAGTGCAGCTCGCGCAGGAGGGGTGTCACGTGGGCGCAACAGGTAGCACCCATAACCACCCGCGCGGCCGCATTCTGGACCAGTTGGAGCCTCCGAGTGCTCTTCAAGGGGAGCCCCATGTAGAGAGCATTACAGTAGTCCAACCAGGAGGTAACAAGGGCATGAGTGACTGTGCGCAGGGCGTCCCAATCCAGAAAGGGCTGCAACTGGCGAATCAGGCGGACCTGATAAAAGGCCCCCCTGGCCACTGCCGTCATATGTTCTTCTAAAGACAGCCGTGCGTCCAGGAGGACACCCAGATTGCGAACCCTCTCTGTGGGGGGCAAAGATTCACCCCCAATAGTCAGCGATGGCACCTGCTGACTATATCGGGACGTCGGGAGCCACAACCACTCGGTCTTGGAAGGGTTGAGTCTGAGCCTGTTCCTCCCCATCCAGACCCGCACGGCCTCCAGGCAGCGGGACATCACATCAAGGGCATCGTTAGGGTGGTCTGGGGTGGAGATGTACAGCTGAGTGTCGTCAGCGTACAGGTGACACTTCACCCCAAAACCACGGATGATTTCACCCAGCGGCTTCACATAAATGTTGAACAGGAGGGGCAAGAGGACCGACCCTTGCGGCACTCCCCATGCGAGATGCCTCGAGGTCGACCTCTGTCCCCCTGCCAACACAAACTGCGAGCGGTCGGAGAGGAAGGAGGAGAACCACCGCAGAACGGTGCCCCCTATTCCCAACCCCCTCAACCGCCGCAGCATGATACCATGGTCGATGGTATCAAAAGCCGCTGAGAGGTCTAATAGGACTAGGACAGAGGAACAACCCGTCCCGAGCCCTCCAGAGATCATCCACCAACGCGACCAATGCCGTTTCTGTGCTGTGCCCCTGCCTGAAGCCCGACTGGCACGGGTCCAGATAGATAGCTTCATCCAGGTGTCGGGGAAGCTGTCGTGCCACCACGCTCTCAACAACCTTCGCCACAAAACGAAGGTTGGAGACCGGACGATAGTTGGCTAATTCAGCCGGGTCCAGGGAAGGCTTCTTGAGGAGGGGCCTCACTACCGCCTCTTTCAAGGCGGCAGGAAAGGCACCCTCACTCAAAGAAGCAGTTATAATCCCCTGGAGCCAGCCTCGTGTAACCTCCTGGGAGGCCAGTACCAACCAGGAGGGACACGGGTCCAATAAACACGTGGCGGCACTAATCTTACCCAGAACCCTGTCCACATCCGCGGGAGCCACAGGATCAAACTCCTCCCAGATAACATTCTCAAGACCTGCCCTCGTCTTCTCCCATGGACTCATCCAATCGGAGTCCAAGCCTTCCCGAATCCGAGCGACTTTATCGTGCAGGAATTGCACAAAATCCTCAGCACGACCCTGCAAGGGATCTTCCCGCACTCCCCCCCGAAGAAGGGAGTGGGTCACCCTAAACAGGGTGGCTGGGCGGTTCTCTGCAGATGCGATAAGAGCGGAAAAATGGTCAGATTTTGCTGCTTTTATCGCCACTAGGTAGGTCTTGATATAAGACATCACCTGTGTCCGGTCGGAATCAGATTGAGTAGTCCTCCAAATGCTCTCTAGGCGTCTTTTCCGACGCTTCATCTCTCTCAGCTCCTCAGAGAACCAAGGAGCCAATTGAGTTCGGCATCGGGTCAGAGGCCGCAAAGGCACGACGCGGTCCAAAGCTCCAGCAGCCGCCCTTTCCCAGGCGGCCACCAGCTCTTCAGTCGAGTCGTGTGTCAGAGTCTCAGGAAACAGCCCAAGCTCCGTCAGGAACCTTTCGGGGTCCATCAGGCGCCTGGGATGGAACCATCTGGTCGGTTCCGTCTCCCTGCGGTGGGGGAAAGCGGTAGGAAAGTCCAGGTGGAGGAGCGAATGATCTGTCCATGACAAGGGTTTGATGTCTAGATCCCCTCTACCAAGATCATTCAACCACTGACCAGAGATAAAAATCAAGTCCAGAGTGTGTCCCCCTATGTGAGTGGGGCCTTGAACTACCTGGGTCAGGTCCATGGCCGTCATGGAAGCCATGAACTCCCGAGCCACCTCTCACGCCTCACCCGCGGATGGAAGGTTGAAATCCCCCATGACAATAAGTCTGGGGTATCAACCGCCACCCCGGCAATGACGTCGAGTAGCTCGGGCAGGGTCGCTGCCACGTGGCAGGGAGCCAGGTACGTGGCCAGCAAACCCATCTGCACCCCACGGCCCCACTTCACACAAAGGGACTCACATCCGGCTATCTGAGGAACAGTGGTCTCCCTCGGACAAAGACTTTCCCTAATAATCACCGCCACTCCCCCACCCCTCCCCTGGGCCCTTGGCTGATGAAATGCACGGAAACCTGGCTTAAACAGCAGAACACTGCAATTTGAAAGAAGTGGCTGTCCAGTCTATTCTTAAAAGCCTCCAGTGATAAAGCACCTACAATTTCTGGAAGGCAAGCTGTTCCACTGGTAGATTTCATATAATCATGCCATGGATACGGTGTCACTAAAATAGCAATTGGATTTAGCCTTATATACCTCCCCATAGTGTTTCCCAGTAGCTGGCGAGAAGCTTTCTGTAAGTGTTGGAAACTCTTTTACTTTCACCGCAGCTGCACAGGAGCACTGCAGCACTAAAACAGGCACAACTTTCCAAATTTCGATCCCAAAGGAATATATGGGTCCTCTATTTTGGACGCATTCTATAGAGGTATATTGGTCCCAAGAATTGTCCTATTCTGCGCTGTTTTGCCCCTGTAAATCAAAACTCACAACCCAAAGCAAATAATCCACTTTGCTGGCTGTCCTGCAAAAGAATGGTGGGAGACTCCGCTGCAGACCAATAGATATATTTATACACTGCAGAAAAGCGGGGAAAATAGTAGAGAAGGTGACACGTACGTGTTCTTAAGTAATAAATCTCAGGTTGCTTTTCTGCTTTTCTGTTATCTACTATGTTCTTAGAAGAAGAAACACTTGGATCTTGAGATTCAGGGGTTGCTACTGGAACCTGGTGGGGAAACTTAACAATTTCCATTTTGCCCAGTTCTTTCCACGCGCCTGGAAATTTCTCTCCTGGGTTCATTCTTCCCTTGAACATAAGGCTCTTGACCCTCCTTCCATACATGCTCCTAGGCTGGTGGGAGGGGGGTTAGGCTGTTCCTTGAGCCACAGATTGGCTGAGATAGGGACCATCTAAGAAGATGGCCCAAGAAAAACAGGAAGAAGATGGATATGGGTTCAGATCAAATGGCAGGAACAAATGTTTGACAAATACCAGATACATTACAGAGGCCTAATAACAGAATGTGTTTGTTACAGGAGATACATAAAGGCATAATATATGTGATACTAATGCAAAGGCATATATGTATTACAGGAACCTCATGGTTACAGAATCTGGTATACCAGTATATCATATTCTAGTATTATTTATTAAATTTTTATTATTGTTTCCTTTCACTACTAATATAGAAGGACCCTGCTTTGAAAGCCGCCAAGGCCCTGATTAGTTTTACAGCAATTGTTATGCTGAAAGGTGAATCACATACAGCCCCTTGCCCTCCCCTTAATAATGCTTTTAATACTGATCGGTTGCCTGGATTACCCCACCCCAAACTTTGACACTTGCTATGGGAATAGCTAAATCTCACTCCACCGGTTGCCTACCCCAGGTGATGGGTATCTTTCTACTTTCATCTTCTAGCTGTGTAGCTTTGGGGTTTTTCTTGTAAGCAAGATCCAACATCCTGGCTAAGTGCTTTCTGACAGGTAAGATCTTTGCTTCTGGGGAAGTCGGAAAACAATTGCAAGAGAGTCGAAGGGTCCAGAATGAGAAGGGAGGGAGGCCCAGGTAAGCACCCAGGAAGGAGCGACTAAATTATGATTATGCTCAGGTACCGTGGAAAGAATTCCACAAAAGGAAAATAAGGCAAGGAGATAAACTATCCAGAAGTTTCTAAACAAAATGGGGGGGGGGAGTGTATTCTGAAATCATTTGATCTTCTTTCCTTAATGATTTGTCCCGCCACCCCTCCCACAATGCGGGTGTCCCACAACAAAAAAAGTTCTTTAAACATTTGCAAAGTGCCAGGAGTCTCCGGGGATCAGGTGGCCAGTAAATTCAAATCACACTCATTATAATTCAGGGAAGGATCTCTACATTCTAGGCTCCTTTGAGGCTGGGAATAGAGACAGCGACCTCCGCCCTTCCTTCCAGCGGGGAGAGAAGCGGGTCTTGATGCCAGGGAGCACCTGGACTGGGGGGGGGAGATCCAGCTGCAACCCCCCTTCTCCCCCCAGGAGGAAAGGGGACCACCAGGAGATGCCCAGGCGGCTGCAGGCTTAGAGGGGCGGGGTAGGGAGCAGCTCCGGGGAGGCAAAAAGGGCTCCGGGACACGAAAGCCGAGGCCGGCGGGGAAACCTCCGTCCATTCCCCTCCACTGCAGCCCCCTTGGGAATCTCCCATTCGCACCCCCCCAAATTCCGAAAAGCCGGGCGGCTGTGGGGGGGCGGGGCCAGCGGCGCAGGGGAGGAGCCAAGGGAGGGGAGGGACCCAGACGGGAGGAAAGCCAGGAAGGCGGCCGCTGCAGGGTCGAGCAGGGGCGTGGCTACGCGGCGCCCGCCAATGGGGTGGCGTAGAAGCTTCCCCGATGCAAATGAACGCGAGACGGCGGGAAAAGCGCTTTCATCCCGACTTCCGCAATCGGACCAAGAGAGCAGAGCTACAGGGGGCGGTGCCAGGAGGAAGAGGCGGAGCCTGGCCGAAAGGAAGGGAGGAAGGCCCACACGGAATTACAGACGCGACGGGAAAACTTTTTCGATTCGGTTGCTCATGCGCCCTGATGCAGGTAGGTCGCAGGGGACGCCGGGAATTGCAGTCCGGGAGGATCCTCTGGAGAAGGGAGGGGGGGGGGAGTGGTTGGGGCGCCCGAGGCCTCGTCTGGCGGGGAGACGCTGAGAAGGAGGCCCTGTCTGTCTGGAGAATGCCCGGGAGGCCCGTGGGAGGCGGGTGCTTGGGCCTGGGCCTGGGCCTCCCCTGCGGGGAAGGGGACGCAGCCGTGACCCTCTTCTCTTTCTCCCCTGCAGGAGGACCGAGGATGGCGGCAGATGCAGGAAAGAGGCGCCGCCCGAGAGGAGGAGGAGGAGAAGAGCGGGCTCCGCGGAGCAGCCCTGTCTGGTCCCAGCGCGGCTTCCCCAGGAGACGGCGGGGAAAGGCCGGGGGGCTCCGGGGCCGCAGGAGGGATGAGCCCAGGAGGAGCCCGGGAAAGGCGGCTGCCTGGAGGGCGATGCGAAGACCCCGAGACGGGCCTGGAGGGCAGAGGCTCCTTCGGAAGACCCCCAAAGCCCCGAAGGATCCAGGAGGAAGCAAAGGAACATCAGTGCCCAGAATGTCAAAAATCCTTCAAAAGAAAGGACAATCTTCAAAGCCACCTCATTATCCACACAGGAGAGAAACCTTATACATGCTTTCAATGTGGAAGGAGCTTCAGTGATAGGAGCAGCCTTCATACGCATAGAAGAATCCACACAGGAGAAAAACCTTACAAATGCTTTGAGTGTGGAAAGAGCTTCAGTCATAGCAGCAGCCTTCATACACATAGAAGAATCCACACAGGAGAAAAACCTCATAAGTGCCTGGAGTGTGGAAAGAACTTCAGTTGGAGGGGAAATCTTTATAGACATCAAAGGATCCACACAGCAGAAAAACCTCATAAATGCCTAGAATGTGGAAAGCGCTTCAGTCAGTTGGGAAACCTTTATAGACATCAAAGGATCCACTGGGTAGATAAACCGAATAAGTGTCTGGAGGGCAGTGGGTCCTTCCGAAGACCAGGGAGTCCCCAAAGGATCCAGGAGGGAGAAGAGAAATATCAGTGCCTGGAGTGTGAAAAATCCTTCAGAAGAAAAGATTTGCTTAAAGGCCATCTAAAAATCCACACAAGAGAAAAGCCTTATAAATGCTTTGAGTGTGGAAGGAGCTTCAGTGATAGAAGCAGCCTTTATACGCATAGAAGAATCCACACAGGAGAAAAACCTTATAAATGCTTTGAGTGTGGAAAGAGCTTCAGTTATAGCAGCAGCCTTCATACGCATAGAAGAATCCACACAGGAGAAAAACCTTATAAGTGCCTGGAGTGTGGAAAGAACTTTGGTCGTAGCAGCAATCTTTATAGACATCAAAGGATCCATTCTGGAGAGAAACCATACCAATGCCTGGAGTGTGGAAATTGCTTCAGTTGGAGGAGCAGACTTGATAAACATCAAAGACTCCATTTGAAGAAATTCCTGGAGGGTGGAGGATCCTGCGGAAGACCCCAAAAGCCCCGAAGGATCCAGGAGGGAGGGAGGAAACATCAGTGCCCGGAATGCAAAAAATCCTTCAAAAGAAACGACCATCTGGAAAGCCATCTAACAATCCACTCAGGAGAAAAACCTTATAAGTGCATGGAGTGTGGAAAGAGCTTCAGTTGGAGGGGAAATCTTTATAGACATCAAAGGATCCACACAGCAGAAAAACCTCATAAATGCCTAGAATGTGGAAAGTGCTTCAGTCAGTTGGGAAACCTTTATAGACATCAAAGGATCCACTGGGTAGATAAACCGAATAAGTGTCTGGAGGGCAGTGGGTCCTTCCGAAGACCAGGGAGTCCCCAAAGGATCCAGGAGGGAGAAGAGAAATATCAGTGCCTGGAGTGTGAAAAATCCTTCAGAAGAAAAGATTTGCTTAAAGGCCATCTAAAAATCCACACAAGAGAAAAGCCTTATAAATGCTTTGAGTGTGGAAGGAGCTTCAGTGATAGAAGCAGCAGCCTTTATACGCATAGAAGAATCCACACAGGAGAAAAACCTTATAAATGCTTTGAGTGTGGAAAGAGCTTCAGTTATAGCAGCAGCCTTCATACGCATAGAAGAATCCACACAGGAGAAAAACCTTATAAGTGCCTGGAGTGTGGAAAGAACTTTGGTCGTAGCAGCAATCTTTATAGACATCAAAGGATCCATTCTGGAGAGAAACCATACCAATGCCTGGAGTGTGGAAATTGCTTCAGTTTGAGGAGCAGCCTTGATAAACATCAAAGATTCCATTTGAAGAAATTCCTGGAGGGTGGAGGGTCCTTCGGAAGACCCCGAAAGCCCCAGAGGATCCAGGAGGGAGGAAGGAAACATCAGTGCCCAGAATGCAAAAAATCCTTCAAAAGAACCGGCCTTCTGGAAAGCCATCTAAGAATCCACTCAGGAGAAAAACCTCATAAGTGCCTGGAGTGTGGAAAGAGCTTCAGTTGGAGGAGCAGCCTTTATAGACATCAAAGGATCCATTCTGGAGAGAAACCTCATAAGTGCCCGGAGTGTGGAAAGGGCTTCAGTCAGCTGGGAAACCTTTGTAGACATCAAAGGATCCACTGGGGAGAGAAACCGAATAAGTGTCTGGAGGGCGGTGGGTTCTCCCAAAGACCAGGGAGTCCCCAAAGGATCCAGGAGGGAGAAGAGAAATATCAGTGTCTGGAGTGTGAAAAATCCTTCAGAAGAAAAGAATTGCTTAAAGGCCATGTAAAAATCCACACAGGAGAAAAACCTTATAAGTGCCTGGAATGTGGAAAGAACTTTGGTCGTAGCAGCAATCTTTATAGACATCAAAGGATCCATTTACAAAAACAGTACTAATGCAGGTAATGTGAAAAATCCTTCAAAAGAAAGGCATCCTAGATCCACTCAAGAAAGAATCCATATGAATGCCTGGAGTGAGGAAAGAGCTTCAATCAGTTGGGAAACCTTCACATACTTTGATACACATCAAAGAATCCACTTAGGGAGAGAAACCGTCAGCCCCGACGATTCCGTTAAAACTGCGAAACAGTGACAATCAGCTGTCTCGTTCTGAAAACTTCCCTTTCGGACGAAGAGGGGGAAATGAGCATTTGGGCGGCGGTAAAGCTCCCCTAGAGCCCCAGGGGATAGAATCTGGGGCACGAAGGCTGAGAGCTCCCTAGGAGCCCGAATTAACTCCGGATCCGGGGACTCTTCTGCTTTAAAGCAGGAAAAGACGCTGCAACCATCCCTGCAAACAATGATTGACATAGAAAGAAACAGAAAGCAGGCAGAGCGGAGACGGGAGTAATTAAAATAGCAAGTATTGGACTTTAACTCTTTAACCCAGAAGTTTCTAAACAAAATGGGGAAAAGTGTATTCTGAAATCATTTTGATCTTCTTAATCGTTTGCCCTGCCACAATGTAGGTGTTGCACAACAACAACAAAATGTGTTTTAACATTTGCAAACTGCCAGGAGTCTCCGGGGATCAGGTGGTCAGTAAATTTAAATCATAATTATTATAATACAGGGAAGGATCACTATATTCAATGCTTCTTTGAGGCTGGCAATAGCGATTGCGACCTCGCCTGCCCTTCCTTCCAGCGGGGATAGAAAGCGGGTTATGATGCCAGGCGGCCAGGAGCACCTGGATTGGGAGTGCTGGGCAGTGGTGGGATTCAAAAATTTTTACTACCGGTTCTGTGGGTGTGGCTTTGTGGTCATGTGGCTGGCTGGACGTGGCCAACTTGACATCAGTCAGGTCAAAGGACGCCTTGCCTAACCTCGCCTGCCCTGAAACGTCCTCAACAAGATACAATTACATAATATATGTTGTGGCTCCGTTACCTGAGCCTGTGTCATCGACAGGAGAGGACTCCGAGAGTGAAGGTGAGTTGGCAAGGCCTCCCTCTCCAGGACCCTCCTCTTTGGCAATGCCTTCGGTGTCCGCCGAAGGGCAAGAGATAGGGCTGGGGCCAAGCACGTCCACGCAGCCACAGGTGGACAGTGATGAGAGTAATGAGTCTTGGCTGGATCCTTGACAGCGTCGCAGAGATAAGCGCGTGCAACAGAAGAAAAGGCGTGCCCGAGATTAGGCTAAGTCACTGGACCACACCCCACAGGGTATAAAAGGGAGCGTGGTGGCTAGTCAAACGTTGTGACGAACAAAGCTGAAAGCTTCCACGCCATTCTGCATTGCCGGACTTTTGCTATAGGCTTTGCTGGATTATATTTGGACTTGATTTATTCTGTAATTATTGAACATTTTACTTTGATGTACCAGAAGCAGAAAGAAGTTATCTTTTCCCTTTGTGAGTAATAAACTCTTGGCAGGCAGCCACTAGGTTGCTGCCAAGTTCCGTTATCATAAGGAAAAGGATTTTGTCGGCTGGTTCGGTTTTTAACGCTTTGACCCCTGTTGGTGTGTGTGTGTGTGGGACGGGGACAGAACAGTATAGTGTGTGTATAGGCACACACAAAGATTCATCATCTACTATATATAGTGTATGCATATGTACATACACATACACAGAGCTGTTCTAAAACTTTTCACATTCAACCTCACTTACTGGGTTTCAAAAAAAAACACCCAGAGTCCACTTTCTGCCACACATTTAACTATAATTTCTGTACATTAGAACATTACACACGCCTTCAGATTCACTTCCCTAGCCTGCCCATGATCCTTAGACCCAGGAGGTGCCATGGATTGAGTAAAATGTGGCAAAACTCACTTAACAACGCTCTTGCTTAGCAACCAAAATTTTAGGCTCAATTGTGGTCTGGCAATTTTGCTCTCTCTTAGAGACACCAAAATAATCCAGATGATATAAGGTCTCCTGCTGGGGCAGGGGGTTGGACTAGATGCCCTCCAAGGTCCTTTCTAACCTGCTATTCTATGATTCTGTAAGGATCTTCTGCTGGAGCAGGGGGTTGGACTAGATGACCTCCGAGATCCCTTCCAACCCTAGATTGCTGTGTTGTTTCAAAGAGTTTTCTGAAGCCAGGGTTCAGTGGTCCTTCCTTCTCTCCCTTTTCCCCCCTCCCTTCATGTGTCTTATCTATCCATCCATCCATCCAACTACTGTATATCTCATTCATTTTCTCCTCCCCCTCCCTCCCTCCCTCCCGTGCAGGGGTGGGTTCTAAAAATTTTTACTACCGGTTCTGTGGGCATGCCTTATTTTGTGGGTGTGGCTTAGTGGGGGTAATGTGACTGGGTGGGCATGGCCACCCCCTTTTTTTTACTTTTAAAAGCATTTTTTCTACAACGTTAAGAGGTTGCAGAAAAAAATGTTTTTAAAAGCCTCTGACAATCAAGCAACTCAGCTGGGATCGACAGGCTTTTAAAGGCATTTTTTTTTCTACAACCTCTTCGGCTCAAGCGGTTGTAAAAAAATGCTTTTAAAAGCCTCTGACGATCCCAGCTGAGCCGTACGATCATGAGATCAGTAAAAATGTGTAGTATTTTGGAGAACCGGTAATAACATTGGCTGGCCACGCCCTCGAACCGGTCCCCAGCCTGGTCGCCGCTTACTTACCCCGCCCACCTCATCAGAGGCTTTTTTTTTAAAACTTAAAAGCATTTTTTTGGCGAAGAGGTTGTAGAAAAAATGCTTTTAAAAGTAAAAATTTTTTAAAAAGCCTCTGATGAGGTAGGCGGGGTAAGTGAGCGGTGACAGGTACGGGGACCAGTTCGGGGGCGTGGCCAGCCAATGTTATTACTGGTTCTCCAAACTACTACAAATTTTTACTACCAGTTCTTGCAAAGTGGTGCGAACCAGGAGCAACCCACCACTGCTCCCGTGCAGGGAGAGGGCCAGGCCCAGCCGTGCCACTGCAGAGCCCCTGGCGGTTTCCCTTTGGCCTGGGCAGCAGCGTTTACCCAGACAAGCCACTGCGGGTAGCCCTTCATCTTGTCAAAGACCAGGTCGCTGCACTTGTAGTTGTGCAGCCGGATGTAGCAGGATATGCTGTGGACGGAGGGGCCGATGCAGCCGTGGTCCAGGCTGAGCGATCGCCACACCTCCCCAGGAACAGGTGCACTGGGGTTGCCTTGCCCACTGCCTCCGTGCGCTGTGCTCGGAAGGGGCCGCCCTCTCTCCCTGCCTGGCTGCAGGGAGCACCGCTGTGCTGTCGCCGTTCGCTTTCTTCCTTCTCCTGTCGTAAAACTAAAGCAAACAGCGGTGGTGGTGCTCCAGGAGGGCAGACTGATGTCTCGGTGCTCCACATGCAGCCCCCATGTACAGCAGCCCCAGAACATTTGCCTGCCCTCCTGGAACTTTGGTTTCATGGCTGGCGAAGGAGGAAAGCGAACGGCGGCAGTGCAACGGTGCTCTGGGAGGGCAGGCGGATGTCTGCAGCCAGGCGGGGAGGGAGAGAGAGAATGCGTGTGTGTGAGAGAGAGTGAGAGAAGAAAGAGTGATGAGTGATGTCTTGTTGGCCACATCCACCCAGTCACATGACTGCCCACCAAGTCACGCCCACAGAACCTGTGGCAAATTTTTTTACATATCACCACTGCTTCCCTCTCTCCTTCTAAAGCTCGGAGGGAGGGAGGGAGAGACTGACCTGACCTGACCTGACCTGACCGACCGGCAGTAGCGGAGGAGGGGCCAGGGGCACGTGGCAGCCAGGAAGGACGCCACAGCAACAAAAAATGAGATGTTTGCAGTGGAGGTTAAAACTTATTTCAGCTGAGCTTCCTGTAGCCTTCTTGCAGCTTTTGCCTGAGCTTCCTTGCAGCTGGGACCTGGACCAGATCTCCCGACAAGGCGAGGAGCGGCTGTGCCTGTGAGGGATGGGGAGGACTGTGGCTTCAGCCAATTCTCCCCAAAAGCCGTTTAAAAAACTATACATCGCAGTCAAACATAATTAATTACCCAGAAGTTCCTAAACAACAAAATGGGGGGAAAAATAGTATTCTGAAATCATTTGATCTTCTTTCCTTAATGATTTGTCCCGCCACCCCCTCCCACAATGCGGGTGTCCCACAACAAAAAAAGTTCTTTAAACATTTGCAAGGTGCCAGGAGTCTCCGGGGATCAGGTGGCCAGTAAATTCAAATCACACTCATTATAATTCAGGGAAGGATCTCTACATTCAAGGCTCCTTTGAGGCTGGGAATAGAGACAGCGACCTCCGCCCTTCCTTCCAGCGGGGAGAGAAGCGGGTCTTGATGCCAGGGAGCACCTGGACTGGGGGGGGAGACCCAGCTGCAACCCCCCTCCTCCCCCCAGGAGGAAAGGGGACCACCAGGAGATGCCCAGGCGGCTGCAGGCTTAGAGGGGCGGGGTAGGGAACAGCTCCGGGGAGGCAAAAAGGGCTCCGGGACACGAAAGCCGAGGCCGGCGAGGGAAACCTCCGTCCATTCCCCTCCATTGCAGCCCCCTTGGGAATCCCCCATTCGACCCCCCCCGCCCAATTCCGAAAAGCCGGGCGGCTGTGGGGGGGGCGGGGCCAGCGGCGCAGGGGAGGAGCCAAGGGAGGGGAGGGACCCAGACGGGAGGAAAGCCAGGAAGGCGGCCGCTGCACGGTCGAGCACGGGGCGTGGCTACGCGGCGCCCGCCAATGGGGTGGCGTAGAAGCTGCCCCGATGCAAATGAACGCGAGACGGCGGGAAAAGCGCTTTCATCCCGACTTCCGCAATCGGACCAAGAGAGCAGAGCTACCGGGGGCGGTGCCAGGAGGAAGAGGCGGAGCCTGGCCGAAAGGAAGGGAGGAAGGCCGTTCTGGCCCTCTCTTTCGGAATCGGAGAGGCAACGGAAAAACTTTTTCGATTCGGTCGCGCATGCGCCTTGATGCAGGTAAGACGCAGGGCACGCCGGGAGTCGCAGTTCGGGAGCGTCCTCCGGAGAAGGAGGCCCGAGGGGGAGGGGAGGCCGGGGCGCCCGAGGCCTCGTCTGGCGGGCAGACGCTGGGAGGGAGACCCGTGGGAGGCGGGGGCTTCGGCCTGGGCCTCCCCTGCGGGGAAGGGGACGCAGCCGTGACCCTCTTCTCTTTCTCCCCTGCAGGAGGACGGAGGATCGCAGCGGATGCAGGAAGCGCCGCCCGAGAGAGGAGGAGGAGGAGGAGAGCGGGCTCCGTGGAGCAGCCCTGCCCAGTCCTGGCGTGGCTTCCCCGGGAGACGGCGGGGAAAGGCCGGGGGGCTCCGGGGCTGCAGGAGGGATGAGCCCAGGGGGAGCCCGGGAAAGGCGGCTGCCTGGAGGGCGATGCGAAGACCCCGAGACGGGCCTGGAGGGCGGAGGCTCCTTCGGAAGACCCCCAAAGCCCCGAAGGATCCAGGAGGGAGGAAAGAAACATCAGTGCCCGGAATGTCAAAAATCCTTCAAAAGTAATGGCCATCTTCAGAGCCACCTAAGGATCCACTCAAGAAAGAATCCATTTGAATGCCTGGAATGTGGAAAGAGCTTCAGTTGGAGGAGCAGCCTTTATAGACATCAAAGGGTCCACTGGGTAGATAAACCGAATAAGTGTCTGGAAGGCGGTGGATCCTTCCGAAGACCAGGGAGTCCCCAAAGGATCCAGGAGGGAGAAGAGAAATATCAGTGTCTGGAGTGTGAAAAATCCTTCAGAACAAAAGAGTTGCTTAAAGGCCACGTAAAAATCCACACAGGAGAAAAACCTTATAAGTGCCTGGAGTGTGGAAAGAGCTTCAGTCATAGGAGCAGCTTTTATAGACATGAAAGAATCCATACAGGAGAAAAACCTTATAAATGCTTTGAGTGTGGAAAGAGCTTTAGTCAGACGAGCAGCCTTTCTGCACATCAAATGATCCACTCAGGAGAAAAACCTTATAAGTGCCTGGAATGTGGAAAGAACTTTGGTCATATCAGCAACCTTTATAAACATCAAAGGATCCACTCAAAAGAGAAAGTGAATAAATGTGTGGAGGGTAAGAGGTCCTCAGGAAGACCCAGGAGACCCCAAAGGATCAAGGAAGTAGGAAAGAAATATCAGTGCCCGGAATGTGAGAAATCCTTCAAGAGAAATGGCCATCTTCAAACACATCTAACAATCCACACAGGAGAGAGAAAATACGAATGCCCAGAATGTGAAAAATCCTTCAAAAGAAAGGACAGTCTTCAAAGGCATCTAATTATCCACTCAGGAGAAAAACCTCATAAATGCCTGGAATGTGGAAAGAGCTTCTGTCATTTGCGAAACCTTCATAGACATCAAAGGACACACTCCGGAGAGAAACTGAATAAATGCATGGAGGGTGATGGATCCTTCGGAAGACCCTGGAATCCCCAAAGGATCCAGGAGGGAGGAAAGACATACCAGTGCCCGGAATGTCAAAAATCCTTCAAAAGGAATAACAATCTTCAAAGGCATCTAATGATCCACACAGGAGAAAAACCTCATAAGTGCCTGGA